GACGGCACTTTAAGTTATAAAGCGCCTTCTTTGCAGAGGCAATGGTTTTATACTTACCATATTCCATGATTATTTCATATTTCATCTTGGACCAGGACATTAACTGTATAGCTTGAAGACTTTCTAGATAAACACGGCACATTGAATCAAAGGTCCATGTAATGAACCATTTCTTATGAATGTCATCATACATGCCCAATGAATTCATTGCTCTATCATAATTTTCCAGATGTTCAGATATGTTTCCTGAACCTCTAGAAAATTGTGGGACAGTCTCTCTAAGGAATTTGATGACCTTTGGTGTTTCATAAACAGGCGTCGTTGATTTACGATCTCTGTTTCTGTGTTTGGGTAAACGTCTATGCGATCTGTCTGCTGAAGAGGAATTAGACCCATACAACAGCGCAGATGGCATATCAGTTACATGGCCTTCAGAGTGGATAGTGCAATCACTTTCACTCCCATCACTCTGAGCTTCTTGTTCACTGTCACAATTCTGATCAGCATCAGAATCCTGCCAGTGTACAGAACCATGTCTGTTTTCATTCCTATCACCTTGAATTGGACTCTCCCTCTCAAGTTTGGCCAAGACAGCTTTTTCAAACTGTTCTGCCCAAGATTGCCAAGGTGGCTTGGTAATGTCATGAGATGGGGAATCTTGTTCCACAGGTGATTTTTTAGAATTACTCACACCTTTACTTACAGACTGTTTTATGAAAACCTGGTTTGGTGTGGGAAAATTATAATAAGGAGGGGATTTACAAATAGTCCTTTCTTGCATTTTTGTGCAACTTTTTGGCACAGAATGATGACTACCAACCTCACTGTCTAATTTCTGACTCTCCTTTTCATATTCATCCAATTGCATTTTAAGCTGATTTATTTCCTGTGCATATTTATCCGTCAAAGCTTTCATTTCTTTTTCATGATCAGCCTGACGAGTTTTATGCTCAGCAAGTAAATCTTGGTATCTCCCATTTTGAATGCCCAGATCGTCACTGTACGTGTCCAATTTGGCATTGACTTGTTTTCATCACACACCTTAAGAAGTGCTGTCATAAAGAAAGGCCAAGAGTGTATTATGTACGCCATTTTCCTTTCTATGTTCTTTTGTTCAGCAATTTCTTTAAGATATATGATGATGTGTTCATCAGTTAGAATGGTTTGTTTAGCTTCCCATTCTATGCTTTTCAACCAAACCTCATAGGTTGCATCATTTTTCATATGTTTATGAATATGAACTAGAGCATGTTTTCTTAGGTCTTCAATTATTTCAGTATTATCTGTTACAGATTTATCACTGCCACTGGCCATTTTTGTTTTTATTTTATTGATTAATCTCAATACAAAACTCTTTTCTATATTAAGATTAAATTGCATGAATTACACCAATATTATTATTATATATGAAATACAATTTCAACTTAAACGATCTCAGCACCGTGCCTCCAATATGTGGGGATATTTATGGGATAATAATAGTAACAGTGAGAATTGCCCACTATTTCAATTCTCAGATCCCAAAGAACGTTTATCGTGTTAAGTGGAATGTATTTCATATAAATAATCACAATGTATAAAAATAGATTTTATTTATGATAATCAATAATTAACAAATAATATTATGTAACATGCATGACAATAATCAATGAATATTCAGTATAAAATGGTATGCAATACAAAGAGATGGGTATTACGTTTCAATGGCTATTAACTCATTATCTGTCAAGACTTCTACGATTTATGAGGTATCCTTAACACAGGCTGAAAGTGAAACTTTTCACAGTGAAGAACAGAATTCCTCAGAGTGCAGCGTAAGGTCGTAAAGTTTAGCAGACAGTTAGAATAACCCTTTCAATGCTGGCTAGATCTCCTAGGTAGTTAAGATCTATTCTTATGTAATTTTTAAATAAAATAACATTTAAACCAGTTCATTAGCCATTTCCAGAAAACAATCCAATAAGAGAATCTACATATTATATAAGCAGATTTTTAATTTGTCTAAAAGATATCTATCTTAATTTAGAGCAAATCAATACACCTGGATAAAAACAGCGGTATGCTAACACGTGATAATATCACATCAATATATAATTATTCTTAATTCCACCTGCAGAATGGAATGTTTATAACTATATATTCTTAGTTAACTAAGATTTCTTAATATGGAAATCTGACCGTGCTTTATCCAGTCATATATAATGCTATTAATACATTTTAATTAATTTAATTTAATTAAATGAAACCAGTATAATTACCAGTTGAGTAGATATTTCATCCGATTGGTAGTCTCAGGAATTTATTTGGATGTGTCTCTGCATGGAGGTTGGAGTCCCCAAACTTCCAATTCCTCTCTCCTCTTTTTCTTTGCATCTCTTGCATCTGCCTCCTCTGTCTTTGTCTCGTATATCTCTATCTTCCCTTCGTCTTAACTTTTAAAGGGCCAGACTCTCTGTACGTCATCAGTTGATAACCCAATAGAAGCACTAGAGGTGTGGTTATCTTCCAGATCGCAAATTAGTTATTTGGTCTGTAGAGGGCAGTCTTGTCCCACTAAACATACCTATCCAGGAAAGAGTTAACTTTTCCTGGTGGCTATTTTGACGTCATTTTGGCCTATCTTGATAGTGGCTATAACTTACATATCCTTCAAAGATCAAAGGGGTTCTTAAATTTTGTCCAGACTATGTGTCTGCAAATCTGCTATAATTTCTGATATGACAGATCATGAACTAAGTTTACCCTTTTCCATACAATGGTACCTTATATATATAGACAGTTAAATATTAAATTATTTAATCTTCTCTGTCACAATTGTCTGGGTTTAGATTTGATTATATTCCATTAGCATTAGACAGTCTGTCCAACCCCCTTCCTTATCACTTGTTTATACTATGCATTCCTTAGCTCTGGCAAAGAGGCCAGTCTTACAGAAAGAAATCCTGTGTCTTTTTTGTTAATTTGAAATAACAAAATGGAGTCTGGTCTGTTCAGAGTGACTCAGAATATACACTTTTAGTTTCTATCATAGCACAAAATGTCTGTCGATATAAATACTCTGACAAACCATGTCTGTGTAATCTGGTCCAGATGTTTGCAAAATTTCTGTAAGATTTAAAATTGATGCAGCATCATCTCAGATTAGTTAATGGACGTTTCAGACAAATATTTGAGTTATGAGCGCACTATATAAATGGATCCTTTCTTTATATACAATACTATAGTAGATTAAAGTAATGACGTTAATAAAAAAAAATAACATGTATGCATAAGAATTCCTAAAATAAATCTAATATAAACTAAAATTGGTATACCTTACAATAATATGTTCTGAGTACAGCTGTTAACTATTTATTCTGTGTAAATGGTGATTGTGATAATGTGTGAAGTGTGCAGCTTAACTGGAAAGTGGTTTAATTTATATGTTGCTGTGTTGTTTTAAATTATATTTGAATCAGTTTGTTTCAGTCTAGTGATACTGATACAAATGCCAGCCAAATAACCTAGCAAATAACTGTTTTATTAGCTGTTGAATACTAGCGGTTTGGCCAAGAGTAGTTTGAGTTGGAGTAGTTCTATGAGCTCAGAGAGGCTCTGTGTTGTGGTCTGGTATAGCTATATGGGAATGGAGATTTGGAGGTGTTAGTTTAAGACTGCTTTCATATTGTGTCTGCCCGTGTTTCCTAGGAGGGACACAGAGTGTGTAGTTGTGTGCTCATGAATGTGTTTTCTGTATTGGCATATCTGCTGGGTACCCGATACGTGTATCTACTACGTCTGTTTTGTGAGATGTCTGTTTTGTGAGATGACATGTAATATTACATTGGATGCTGAGTATGAGTTATATGGTTTGAAATGAATTGGTGTGTTATGTGTTTCATGTATTTTATTGTCCATTGTGTAGGAGTTTAACTAGCAGAGTGATTTGCATATCATTAACGCAAGCATTTAGTGTTTTTACAAAAGGTGAAATGCTGTCCAGCCGGCTAGAATGAAACAATGGTATGCTATCGCTCCTGGAGCAAGAAAAGCGCTTGTTACATCCCACGTGAAAGGGGCCCCACAAACTTCTGCTGTTCAAATTGTGACTCCACATTTCCATTTGCAAACTGATTAATCCTGAAAGTCATTCTTTTACTGATAAAAAGGATTGAATGGACAAGATGTCTCTCCCTCATAAAGGAGTTCTAATAGGGGAGTATTGTCCAGCTCAGAGTTAACTCTACTTTTAAAGTATATTGCATTGTTTGTGTCAAAGTAAGATTCATCTAGAATGCCTCATTGATTATGGGGTAATAATAAAATGGTATTTTTATTGGAGATTAGACAATTTTGGAAATGTATAAGTGAGTTAATCTTAATCTCCTAAACTACTGTATTATATTTGTATGGGTAAAGTGAGATCCAGAAGAGGATCCAGAAGAGGATAAATAAATAATATAATAATCTCACTAGGAGCCAAATTATGCAAAGAGGCTATCCAAAGTACGCACTAACGGGTTAAACTTGTTTTCTTAAGAAGTGTATAACATAGTTTTGTGGTTAGACTTTTGATACTCAATTTGAAATATATCCCAACTACATCCTTGCACGGCCCCAGGTACAGGAAGAAATATGTGTTTTAAACATTTTTGCAAAGTCTTAGTGTTTTCAATATATTAGAACAATGGAAAAGTACCTAACCGCATGTCTGCATTATGCTCATGACACAGACTGTCAGTATTGCAAGCCCTATATGAAGGCTATGCTTTCATTGTTGGTGTATACCCCTAGACAACCTTGCTTTTTATACACAATTTAACTATCCATTAAACCTTTAAAAGCTTATTAATATTATATCTGTGTGGTACACAAAGAGGGGATGTGAGTTCGGTAATCCCGACCTGCATATGGAATATGCTTCCTCCTTGTTCACTTTTGTTCCTTGCTCGTCTGTGACTGGCCCTTTTTGACCCCAAATGAATTTCTTGGGAAGATTCATGAGAAAGATACAGCAGGTTGTTTTGATAGAAAGAAAGAAGGAAAAGGTATGTTGTAGCAGTCACAAGGACTGTGATCCTAAGCAGGCGAGACAAAGAAATTTGGGAGGTGATAGGAGATTGAATCAGAAAAGTTTTAAAGGCAAAGGTAGAGGATTTGGTCAAAGTTTCTAACTTTTGTAGAGGTAGCAACTTCAGTATTGGTGGAACACACAGTTCTAATTGTGGATAGCAGGGTCACTGGATAAATGAGTGCCCAAACCCACCCCCACAGATTCCTCAATACCAACCACAAAACCCACACCCAACAATCCCAGCCTAATACACAGATGGTTCATGTTTTTAATATTTTATATAGGTTTAGGTGTTAATCCAAGAGTATTGAATTATTTGGGATTATTAAAGTAATTAATTTTGAACAAGGTTCAAGTTTAGGAACAAAGTTTTATTGGGAATGTATATGTAAATGTTAGTGTTTTAATATTCATCCTAACAAGCATTTCTATAGAGTGAGTGCTTCTCTCATCCGTACAAAGGCATTCCAAAGGGATATTATGTAAAACTTCATAGAAGACAGATTGCATAAAATATAAGCAAATGTAAGAGAAGTACATGTTACACAAGTTAAGGGTTTAACCTTAATCTCTAATTTAAGTTTTAGCCTAGGTAATTAATTAATGATGCTGTATTGATCCTTGTGTTTGTATGATTGTAGAGACCGTCCTGGAGTGTTTGTGCCGCCTGATTTCTGGGACTACACATCAATCTCTCCGGCTGACCATGCAATAAGTATTTTGCAATTAAATCTGTTTGATCATTATCCATGCAGGCCGAAGAAACTGAGATACTTATGAGGACATAAACTTTGCACGCAAGAACCTGGAAAGTCCTGAAGGTGCAGTGCTGTCTAATACCGCTGGTTCTGTAATAACCCTTTCAACCATTGGGGTGTTGCACAGAGCATTGTGGTGAAAATCCAGCAAACAAAAGAAGAACTATGTGGAAGCTGACATTGTCTTGTTGTCAGCCATATTGCTACCCTAGCCATTTTATGGAACAAAATGTCTGGTGTCTAAACTGATTTCTTTATACTCTGTGAAAGACATTCTATTTTTCTGAACTATGTTGAACTATTGAACTATTTTTATTTTTGTAGAGTTAGCCGGAGAGAGAGAGGAAGTGTTAGCTGACCCAGGGATGAATGTATTATGTGTGTTTTTGATATATGTTGAGTGTGCCAAGGATTGATTCCCATGTTTTGTGAAACTGCGTGAGGATATGACTGGTTTTGACTGGACCTTTGGAATAGGGAAATGGTTAAAAGATATAGGACGCAAGGTCCTGGTTATTATTGTCTGAATTTCAAGCTAGATTATAATTTATCTCATGAATTAATATGTAAGAAGCGTTTCCCAATTCCTCCCGATACCTGAGCTATGTACTCACAGGTGCGGGTATTATAAGTCACAAGTGGTGTCAACTGTGAGGGGATGACATGTCTAACACGATCGCGGCCCCCACTCAGGTTTTCCCCAGATGTGCTTTTTCCTCAAATATGAGTTTTTGCCACTGGGGTTTTTTGCCTGGCCCCAGATCATCGGGTGGACTGGTAATCCTAGACCCCGGTCCTTGAACGGGGGATAGGTATTATTCCCACTTTGACTATATGCGCCCACTTCCGTGGACAAAGGAGGAAAATAACTGTTGGGAATAATACACTTTGCCCATATTTACCCAGGGCTTACGATACAGATGACAGGCTGGTTAGTCTGTTTAAAATTGGTTAACATGTCAGCTATTTGCAATAATATATTTGCTATAAGCCCAAGTTCCATTTTGTCTTAAACATCCATTTTCTATATATCTGTCTGTAAAAGTATTAAGTGTCTTTTTTCCTGCTGAGTTTCTGTTTCTTGTAGACCACATGATTGCTTGGGAATACCATAATGTGGAAGTGTCTCTGTCCTGGGAAGATTTTAACCGATAAGATGAGCAATGTATTGCTCAAAGAGGGGGGATGAAAGCTGAAATAGTTAACTTTCCTTGTTCATATGTATTTTATGCTTAGATAAGGTTTATAATCATTAGTACTGACTGTAAGGATATGAAATAGTTAAACTCTTTCTTGCTTTAAAATAATGTTTGAAATAATTATGCTGACTTTGGCAGATGTATTTTGTACCAAGGTCTTTCGTCTACAGGATGTATGACCTTCCTTGACCTTAGGATATTCCTGTCTCGTCTTTATCCAAATGCTTATCTTTTTCATGTCCGACAAGTATGTACTATTAACTACAAGGACACTGCTTGCATGACAAACTGTGTATAAATGCTAGCCCTGAAAATATACTCATTGAGAACTTGTTAAGCACTCTTTCGTGTCTGTGTGTCTTAATTTGCTAACAAGAACTCCCATCAATTGATGTGGTGACCGGAGGATCGAGGATCGAGGGGAGTTGAGTCCAGAACAGCATTAACCCTTTCAGGCATTTTCCTAAAAAGAGTGAAAAGCTACCTAAGGATGATTGTCATGATCTGACTCATAACAATTGTAAGATTTATTTAAAGAAAATGTAGTGTAGAACACACTTACACTCGATATCCGTTTTCTCAGTCTTTGTAACACTTGTAAAAAAAATATAAAAAAGAAGAATCTTAAAAATCGCATATGATAAAGATGTTAAGAATTTTTTATTTTTTTATTATTATATACACAATGCAATAGGAATGATTATACATTTACTCAAATTGAAATTTACACCTATCTAATCTTAAGGAAACAAAAAGTGTTAGACAAATCAAGATCCATAATCAAATGCAGCAGAGTTACCATTCTGATACGTAAACTGCACTGAACACCTCATGCTTAAGAAGTTTTCAATTTGAATAAAGAACATGGGAAATGCCATAAGCACATTATTCAGAGTGAATGTACAAAACAAAGTGAAATATAAGCCTGTAATTATGGAAATAGGCTTTTAGGACCTTTTTTTTTGTACAAAGGCATGGTAATGTAAAGAATTGATTAAAAGCAAGAAATAAGAAAAAAACAAACAAAAAAACCCCAAAACAATCAGTTACACTAAGGATGCAGAGCTATCGAGCAGGTACTTTAAAAAAGGGATCGTGATCCTTGGTTTTCAAATTCTGACCAGGCGTCATTCAATTCCATGAAAATCATTTTGGCATACTGTTCATAAGACTGTCCTGTTGCCTACAAGCAAAAAACAAAGAAAATACATAAACAAATAAAACATTAAGCTCTAAAGGCAAATGAAACAATGGAATATATTAAGAAACTTTCATTTGAATATGTTAATGTAATACATGCATACAGATATTACGGTGTTATGTCTAGTGAAAATCATTGCTGTTAATTTAGTAATGTACATTAAACACTCTTTCCTGCCTAATCCATGTAAGCATCGCTGGTTGAGCTCCTCCGTCTCAGCTGATAGGACAATGGCCCCCGAGGGAGTTCAACCTCTCTCCCTCAGAAATAACCCAGACACAGCCCAAGCTGTTTGGGGCTCCCTAGGTTAGGATTACTATTTTAGGAAATAGTAATTGAAGAAAAAAAAAATAAAAAAAAATAAAAACTCATCCTGTATGCCTATGGATTATATTATTAAGCTTGAGGTGGTAAGGAAGACCTCCACACCTTTGTCAAATATCTATCCTTTAGTTTCCCTACAGAGGTATATTCCTGGATTGCCTATAAGGTGTACCAAGATGGCGGACATTTCAGCGTTTTTAATTATTTTATTTACCTTTATTTCACTTCTTCTATATTTTTGGATATATGGGACTCTAAAATGTTTTTATGCTATTCTGGTTCCCTTGTTCTTACTTTCCCTAGCTATCTGCTCCAGAGCTCTTCTCTGCTGGATGGGCGAATCCAAATTGGCTGACTGGGAGCTACTGCGCATGCATGGGCATCTCTTAATGCTCCAGGAGCATACAAATGGCATTTTCAGGTAAAACTGATTTTAAAGTGGTCCAGTGCCTGAGGCTCATATTTATTGAATATTCTGTTTTCTGTGGCCTTATTCCTTGATGGAAAATGTTGCATTCTATTAATTTAGCTGCTGCAAGGTAAGAAGCAACTTTGAATGATTTTATATGTTTTTTTTTTTCCTCTTCTAGACTAGAATTAAATATATATATATATTTGTGCTCGGAATTTCTAATAGGTTATGGAATGTATAAGAAGATGCCAAGTTGGTTGAGGTGTGCCGAAACCAACATACGAGTAGGCCTGAAATAAAAAGAGGGCCCACAAAGGTGAAATGTATTATATAGCTGGGTGCAGTCAAATAGCTTGAACGGCAGAGGTGAGTAGGGGCTAGGAGTTTAAATAGGGGCCATAACTCCTCCCACAAATTCAGGCCTAAAATTCAGGCCTAACTTGTGCTCGGAATTTCCAATAGGTTATGGAATGTATCAGAAGATGCAAAGTTGGTTGAGGTGTGCCGAAACAAACGTACGAGTAAGCCTGTAATAAAAAGAGGGCAAAGGGAGGATTCAAAGTAAACACTTGCAAGTTACAAAGTGAGACTTCTGAAAGTTTGTTGAAGCTCGCTCTCCGGTTGTGGTATGCAGGTATTGTAAATAGAGTATTTCCAGCGGCCCAGTCTGTTAATGATGTGGACTGGTGTGTTTGAGCTAGATGCTGCGGCTATACGGAAGGAGTGACCGGAGAAGGAAGCCAGGTTGTAGCCCAACCTTGATAGTAGAGTTCTAACGTGAGATGCGAATTTAGCTGTGTTGAGTGGGTGCCCTTGGAGTGTCAGGTGAGTGTGTGTGGGGAGACACCAAGAATATGTCACGTACCTTGACTGGGCACCAGACATTTCCGGTAGGGAAGAGGGGAATGATAGTGGGATGAATGGTGTAGTTAGTTTTTGTGGAAGGTAATGAAAGTACGTAGTGGTCTTCTACTTTATTTAGATGAGATAGTTTCAGGCTTAATGTGGTATCTATTTGACGTACAACTGTAAACTCCCCAAGTCTGATGAAACCATAGAAAGCCATAACCAGTTTAGTGTGATAGTCAAACAGGGATTTGTCCAGTAGGTCGCTAAGTAGCTTAAAAATAGGACCATCTATAGGCAATCTGGTAGTGACAGGGGGAACTGTAACTTTGTAAATACCCTTGAGGATTTTCTTAATAGGGTATGATGTTAAGAAAGGTGTGCGATTAGGAAAGTTAGTGAGGACGTGGT